TCAAAATTCAAACTTCCCCTTCAGCTCAAAAATGTAAAGCAAGAATTTTTATGACTCTGCTAATGGGAATCTCAAGAACAAAAACTGTAAAGAATGAAACTTGACACACCTTCGCTTCCAGTTTGATACCAACCGATTTAAGGAAGTACATTAATAACGAAAGATTAACAGCTTGAAACTTCAAATATATTTTACAATAAAGAAAGACAAAATTACAAAGCATAATAAAGACAATAGTAGGCTGACAATTTTAGACAAGCCAATGCCATCCATAACAGAAACTTCAAACCCAAAAAGCACTTATTCAGGAAACATTAAATCAGAAGCTCTAAAACATCAACTCTGCAACTAGCTTCTTCTTTGAACAAGTCTTCTGGCTTTCCTCATCTTCCTTCCACCTTGACTTGGTCGGCCATCAAACAAAGACACAAACCATTTTGGTTTTCCTGTTCGGAAGACAAGATATCCCATCAGCAGTCCAAAAACAACTCCACATCCATAACCTAACACCACAGCTCTCCAGCCAAATCTCCACAACTCATCTTTTTCTTGGAAGGAGCTCGGCGGTGTCCCAATTCCATCACAAGATTTTGACAATGGGAATCCACACAGTCCAAGGTTTCCTTCATAAGAACCATTTTCAAAGGTATTGAACTGATTGCCCTGTGGTATGCGTCCGATAAGATGATTATTTGAAAGATTCAATACACAGAGTTGGGTCAAAGATACCAATTCATCAGGAATTTTCCCTGCCAGCTCATTGGAAGAGAGATCCAACCATTCCAGATTCATCAAATTCCCTAGTGACGGTGGGATATGACCAGTAAGGTTGTTATGAGAAAGATTAAGCCCTTTGAGAGAACTAAGCTTTCCAATAACATCTGGAATTTCTCCCTCAAACATGTTATTTGAGAGATGAATACTACTGAATATGGTCAAGATTTTCTGCAGCTCATAGTCGAATCCCTTCCATGTCACAACTAGTGAATACTGATAAGAATTGGCTCCTGTCGACACCATCATGTATTTAGGGGAACCACCATCTTTATGAGGGTCCATCATCGCATTAAAATTTTCAATGTACCGAGCAGGCAAAGCACCAACAAAATAATTGCTGGAGAGGTCCAGAACTCGCAACTCGGGAAAAGATGGACCTTCTTTGGTGCTATGCACGAAACCGTGAAACTTGTTGGCCCTTAAGACAAGCACTTGAAGCTCTAGTAGAGATTCCAACCACTGAGGGAATGTATCACTTATGTTGTTGTTGCCAACGTCTAGAACCTCTAACCGGCTGCAATTCACCAAAGACCTTGGTAAAAGCCCGTCCATTTGATTTCCATGCAAGTTGAGATTTTGTAATCCACAGCCCTCTGGAAACCCAAATGGTATATTTCCATCAAAGTAATTGGCCTGCAAATTCAACACTGAGAGAGACTTAGGAAGACAATTTGGAATCTTCCCGATTAAATTGTTATGAGACAGGTCAAGAATTTCGAGATCATCCTTTTCA